TGTCGCATATTTTCTGGTTGACCTGGGCTGTGTGTCCCGGAACCACCAGCATGAAAAGAAGCAGCTCCTATTTTGGACATTAGTCACCTTCTCTGGAGGCACAATTGTCGTCACTCTTTTCTCTGGTGACCTGCTATCGTCAGTGGTGACAATATAAACACAGGTTTGTTTTCTATGACCTTCCTCCTGCCCAGGCATTCCTGGCGGGGTCCATTCAGGGGTGTGTAGGTAGAATTCGGGGTTCTATATATTTAGTTGGGAAAAAGTTACATCTTTCTTTCCAGTAACCTTTCGTCTAAATGTAACCTCTCCTTTGCTGATGCATGGGGGCAGTAAACTGCAGTGGTATTAGCCGTAATCATAGGTACTTTCATGTTACAGAGGTTGCACATCTTTTGAAAAACATCATTTACATATCACTATGCATAAATTATGCTAATAAATCTAATGTGTTATAAAGCAAAGCAAATGCGTTATTATATATAAATGTGAAATTATTTTAATAACTATTAAGGATAATTGGTTATTTGATGGGTCGATGTATTTTAAGTGATGCACTTAAAATCATTATTCTGAGAAGAGAACCAAAGGCTTTTTACTTTATGTATTGAAAATCATTATTCTGAGACGGCTCCCTCAGACTGCCAGAAGGTTCCATGGCACAAAAAAAGGTTATGCACCTGGACCCAGCAGGAGTCAGTGGTGACACAAATGCATAAACACCCAGGCTTGGGACACAGGCTCTGCCACTGATTCCCTGTGTGACCTGGGACAAAATTCTCCACCCCAGTTTGATCCTGTGGCATCTGGCATATTTTTTTTTTAAGCTTTTAGCTTACTCTGAAATCAAGATTAGCAGCAGTCAGTCCTCACAACTAGAAAAAGACTAAATAAAATTTAAAAATTTTAAATTAAATGTATTGGGGTGGCATTGGTTTCATGTGTACAGTTCTGTGATACATTATCTGTATATTGCATTGTGTGTTTACCACCCAAATCAGGGCTTTTGTAATTTTCCAGTGACCTCCGCTTTGAGTTTTTCCAGCTTGTTAAATCGTTGATTTGTATTTCCCCCTATGGAGAAGGAGGGGGACATACTTGAGGATAAATCCACAAGTAATTATGCAGCACCTCCTGGGATGGCAGGCCTCGTTTCAGAAGCTTGTCTCCCTCTGTCTGCTTCTGGCACAATAGAATGGAGCCCTCTTAGGAGAGAACACCAGTTAGTTTATCCTGCCTAATCTTTTTCTTGCCCACTTTGAAAAGAACCCCCATGGGCCTGAGTTGACTTAGTGAATGAGCTAAACCCTCTTTTGACAAGAGAAGCTTGAAAATAACTTTGTTCCCATAGTCCTGGCTAAGCAGCCAGCCTTGCCAGGAGAAAACATGACGGGTTTCTTTCTATCTTAAAATCCTCCTGATTTAGGTTCAAGCTTTCAGTTTTAGGTACAGGTGGGCACAGTTCTGACAACACTCATATTTTCATGGTGGAACCAACGGCCAGGGTGTTTAGAAGTGGCTTAGGTTAGATCATTCGCAGTAAGTGGGTGTCGTGGTATTTCAGAACAGAAAGTGGGGGTCGGCTGGCCCACCCCTTTAGTTGGAAGGATACGTGGGCTGCCTGGAAGCCCCCCGAGGGCCTGGTTCAGTGCTGTTTCTCTGCTTCAGCAGTCCCTGCGCCTCCCTCTCCATGTCACACAGGCAGTGGCTGGCTCCTCCGTGTCCAGCAGCCAGCACAGTATCTGGCACGTAGTGCCGGTGACTGCTGATGCCAAAGCTTGGAGGGCATATGATTGTGACTGGACCATGGGTCCAAATGGGAGCGTCTCTGCCGAGCGAGGACATGGACCTAAGTGGCTGGTGGAGGGAGCCTGAAGCCTGCCATGCGCTGCCGGGGTTTCGCTCACACCACCGGGTTCCCGGCCCAGCACTGGACTCGCCAACCCGGACAGAGCAGGAACGGCAACCAGAACCTGGCTGGGACATGTCCCGGGGGCGTATAGATGATTGACAAACGCCAGGCTCTGGAGGAATGACACTTCTCATCTGTGTAGGGAGGAGAGCCCTCGTGTTTATTAAGTGCCTGTGTGCTCGGCACATGGTGTCTCACTGATATCCTTATACACTTCATGGAGGATCTCACTTAGTTCTCACAACAAACTGAGGATGGCTTTATTTCCATTTTCCAGAGAAGAAAACTGAGGCTTAAAGAAGTTAACGGATTTTCTCAGTCATATAACTAGGGAATTGGGAGCCTGGGGAATTGAGAGCTGAGATTCAAAGCCAGGTTTTTCTACATTAAAACCCATAAACTTTCTTATTTTTTTTCTATTGTGAGGCAAATAAAATATGAATACTTTATTATAAAAATGTAAAATAATGCCAAAGTATAGAGAATAAAACCCACAAGTCTCCTTTTTTTTATCTCCCCCCAACCCACTCTCCTCCCCCTGAGGAAGCCCTGTTGACGGTTTGGTCTGAATCCTTCCAGGTATTTAGCTCTGTATCTACACACACACACACACACACACACACACACACACATATCCATACACTCCTATAGGGTGAAATAAGCAAATACATAAATAAAGCCATTATAGCTGCTTCATTAGGAAAAATTAAATTACAATGAACATTTTCTTTTCTCTGTTTTATTGGTAGGGATCGTTGTAATCGTTTAACGTTTAGTGAGCACTTACTGTGTGCCAGACATTGCCCTAAGGTATCATTTTATGTGGCCTCACAGTTGCCCTTCACTTCTGAGGCATTTGAAGCACAGAGAGGTTAAGAGATTGCTCAAGGTCACACAGCTAGGAGGCGTAGAGGCAGTAGCCAAACCAGGGTCTGGCTCTGGAGCCTGTGCTTTTAACCATCACATGGATGCCACCACCACTGTCTGACTCCTACAGAGTCAGGGCTTGGTGGTATCAGAGTGCTTGTCCCAGTGAGCTGGGATCCTCCTCATTTGGTTCCTATGAAGCGTACTGTATAGTGGGATAACTTCTGGAACATGTCTCCCTCCCTAGGCAATGTCTACAACACGCTTCCCGCAATCAGCACTGCTTACATGTGGACATCGCATGAGTTAAAACACAGAAACAGTGCCTGGCACAAGGCAAGTGCTCTGTTTGCTCTAATTTTTCCTTACTGTGTAGTTCACAGGTTGCCTTCATATGCGGTATTTCATTTATTCCTTACAACAACCCTGGGTGGAGAGAATGGTACCGTTAACCTACCTGGTAGCAGAGGAACTGAGGCCCATGAACTGACAGGGAGCGCCCCAGGGCTGGTTAGTGTTTGGTGCTGTGACCAGAACACCCCCCCGGTGAGGGAAGGAGTGGCGTTTCCCTTCTGTTTTGTCCTGCTGTGCCTTCCTCTACGATGGCAGGTATCTGATATGTGAATACACTGCTTCCTTATTAAGCATAGTTTTGCAAGGCATCCGTGTTCCGATTCGGAGAGTGGAGCATTGGCTCTCACATTAAGGGAGACCTTGAGTTGTATTTGCATTGACTGCAGTTAGCGACAGCCTTCAGCTGCAGGTCCTCATTCTGTATTTTGAATTTAATTTAAAAAGGTCAATAAAAGGGACCTTCCTTATATAAAAAAAAAAGGTCCGCCACTTGCAACTATAGACGCTTATGGCGTACAGCTGGTTAAGGATTGAAATAAAAGGACAGCAGGCTTGGTTATAGAAGAACAAGATATCACCCTTCAAGAATAATTCAATACCCCACAAGTCATTTTACTGATAAATATATTTATTATTTTGTTGTATGTGGTCATCAACACTTTTATAGTAATTACTGTGTGTCAGGCACTGTGATCAGTGATTTACAAATATTTCATTCTCCTAAGAGCCTTTGCTTACCACCACGGGCTGAAGGACTTCAGTGAGGAGAGAGTATGGGGGGCTCTGGGATGGAATGGATGGCTTCATAGAAAGGGAGGATTTGAGCTGCTCTTTAAAGAATGTGTAGAAATAGGCCAGGAGAGTGAGGAGGGAATTCAAGGCACAGAGAAAGGCAGGTGTAGAGGAGTGGAGTTGGAATATTTGTTACTCTCTGTGGGAACAGGAATGGCCAGCTGATGGCAGTGAGCCAAGAGCACCCAACTGTTGAGGTCTGAGCTTTGGCTAGTTTGCTGATGCATCAAAACGTTCCCACTGATGCATGTCAATCCAAACCACGTGAAAAAAGGGGTCATGTTTCTAAGAGTTAAAAATGGCACAGTAATTTTTGGCCATATGTGAGGATAATCACTCCCCCTGGGTTGGAGAGGTCACAGAAATGGAGCCTTGGGGAGGCCTGCATACCTTCTACAGCATCCATGCCAAATCATCACCCCCATATGCTCCTGGCCTTTCTTCTTTTGTCACCCTAAATACCCCCACTTCTGTTCTTCATACAGCAGGCTTTCAAGACTCTTCAGCACCCTGTTTACCCTCCTCTAAATGTGGTCCACTCTGAATATTTTAGTTCTTATGCTGTGGGGTCCAATCCTCCAGGGGAGGGCTGCCAGCTAAGAGCAGAGATGCATTCTATTTTCATCATCCCAAATATTGTATTATTCATGAAACTTAGGACCACAGCTTTTTAAAAAAAGAATCCATGTTTAACTTCCTATTGACTAAATATATATTTTATTATTCAAGCCTATGCATGTACTATTCAGTTCTATGTTGTACCTGACTCCAAAAAGTTAGGAAGAGTACATTATAAAAGAAGCAATGGGGTTATTGGGATAAAAATAACCTTGTAACTGGATGGGGGTATTAGGATAAAATAACCTTTAAAACAGCCAGAGAGAAAAAGGCCAAAGGGTGTTCTTATCCTGCCCTTTCTTCTGCCACGTTTTCTTCCCTTCTCAAAAGGAGGATTCAAAAAACCTGAAAATGAGGAAATGAATTTCCTAAAATCTGGGTCAAGAAGATCAAACATCTCAAGTTTTTGGCAGGACACGTGCTACCCACCAGGCCTCTTACAAGGTGTTGGCCCTCGGGGCCCTTTCTCTTTCCCTGGCCAGGACCTCAGACATGACCGGGAAGATCTTCACAAACACCAGGGAGCGGTGGAGGCAGCAGAATGTGAACAGCGCCTTCGCCAGGCTGAGGAAGCTCATCCCCACTCACCCTCCAGACAAGAAGCTGAGCAAGAATGAAACGCTTCGCCTGGCAATGAGGTATATCAACTTCTTGGTCAAGGTCTTGGGGGAGCAAAGCCTGCAGCAAACGGGAGTGGCAGCCCCGGGCAACATTCTGGGACTCTTTCCCCAAGGACCCCCCCTGCCCGACAGGACTCTGCTCAGTGACTACCAGGTTCCTTCACCTGGCCCAAGCCACCACGTCCCTTAGTGCGGCTCTGACTCTCAGCACCCAGGGAGACACTTGTTCAGAAGTCACTGGCCATCGACAGCCTTTGGCATGTTACAGTGTCACCTTGATGAATAATTTGTGAGGCAGGAATTTAAGTGTCACAGGAGGTGGCTCAGGGACAGCTGCCAGGAGCTGACTGGAGGCCATGAGGAATGTGGCTTTGGAATGCGGCCTGTTTCTGTCTATTTTATATGTCCAACATCTACATGAGATGCCGTTTGAAGAAAAAACAATTACTCAATATGTTTTCAGTTATAAGCAAGATGAGTAGAAATGCACATTTCAGATGAGTAAAAAATGCTTCCCTCCGAACATTTTTTAAAAATATATATTTTTATTGATTTTAGAGAAGAAGAGAGAGGGAGAGATAGAAACATCAATGATGAGAGAGAATCATTGACTGGCTGCCTCCTGCACGCCCCCTACTGGGGATCAAGCCTGCAACCCAGGCATGTGACCTTGACCGGAATCAAACCTGGGACCCTTCAGTCCACAGGCCAATGCTCTATCCACTGAGCCAAACCAGCTAGGGCCCTCAGAACATACTTTAAAGTTTCTTTTGAAAAATGTAGCATGTTTGATCAAGGGGGAACAAAACAAGTCTTCAGGTTGGCTCTTGCAGGAAAATAATCCTGGAGACTTGTGGGAAAATCTGTGGAGAAAAGACCCTCCTGACATGAGAAGATTACAGGAATGCAACAGATACCTATGGGAGAGCTCTGCATCCTTTATCGCTACAGAAGTGGGAGGTGTTACCTGCCATGAGCCATTCCCATATATGTTATCTCCAAAGCCAAATGGTGGGCTATATTTGTGAGAGGCAAGGACTTGATCACTTATGAATTAGAGTTCCTAGTTTTCTTATGAAAAACACCTGAAATAGGTTCTCTAACCCCTCAGTTTCACATGTCAGGTATTAATAACTTCTAATTCAGCCTGAGTTCCTGCTGATCTAAGACCCGTAAAATTCAAATATAATTATGAAAATCCAAACATTACCATTTAACGACTCATTTAACAGAGAGCTTAGTTTAAACAAAAGATTTAGAGCAGACAATGGGACTGTAATACCAGACTCTAATGAATTAATGAATTTGGAATTTGTCTTCCCAGCTATGGAGCATTAGCTCAGTCTTATGTTGGGAGGGGTGGTATCCACAGACCAATGGAACAGTGTGGATTTGGCATAACTCACCACCACTTGCCACCCTGATGATGCTTGGATTCAGAGATGAATCCCATAGCTGAGCCCAGAATACAAATTATGTCATTTGATTGTCTCTGGGACATTTTATTTCCCCAAAGTTCTTGATGGTACATTGGTTTTAAAACCTTCTGAACCACCAGTAGGAAATTGATGGATTTGCAATTACGGCTTTCCAGTGTATACATAACAGAGGAGTTAAAATTTCCTGCCACTCTGGAAGGAAGATATTTGACTTATGAAAGGTTGAAATGAGCCCCTTTGGTTTGGTAATCAGAAGAAAATTGGATGAGGCCCCCTCAAAATCTCATTCCCCAAATGAGCAAGGCCGTTATGTCATTAAACCCCATGCAGCATTCACACTCGTAGCACGTTGTGTGTCAGAAGCAATGCATTTCCTTCTGGGTCCTTTCTTTAAACTGCACTCAGTGAACTTCCCCATGGACCCAGAATAGGAGGAGACACAAATGGGCATTTCTCACAAGCTTGGGGGGACTTAAGTGTGTCCCCAAACTACCAATGGTTTGCTGATGGTTGTCAATTGAGCAACATTACTTATTCTCATCTGGCATTAAATCAAAGTCACACTTTAGACAGAATTTTTTTTAAATATATTTTATTGATTTTTTTTACAGAGAGGAAGGGAGAGAGACAGAGAGTCAGAAACATCGATGAGAGAGAAACATCGTTCAGCTGCCCTCTGCACACCCCCTACTGGGGATATGCCCACAACCAAGGTACATGCCCCTGACCAGAATCGAACCCGGGACCCCTCAGTCCGCAGGCCGACACTCCATCCACTGAGCCAAACCGGCCAGGGCTAGACAGTATTTTAATATTAGCTTCATTTTACCATGTTGCCGAGGACTGCAGGGAGGCCTGAATATGGGATTTAATGCTCTTCTCAGAGTGAGTGCACCTTTTTGCTGTTGGGGCCACGTCTGTGTGTGCAGAGGGCCCTTGCTCCTAAAAAGCTCTGGGGAGATTGAATGATCATTAAACTATATGAGGAGGATCATTGTTTAATGAAACCCTGCAGGAAATCCCCTTGATAGAATGAATACACATTTAAAATATGACTTTATGTAATTCACCTCTTAGATGATTTCTTTTGCAGGCTTGAATTTTGGTATATCAAGTTGTGTCACATTAAAATGACTGTCAGACCTAAACCTTGGCAAGGTAGCTGCCATAAGACTGGAGGCTAATTCAAAAATCACTCTATAGTCTTCCTTGGTGTCCTATACTTAGGGCTTGGTGATTGCAATAGTAAGAATTTATGGTTCGAATATATTGTAGTTCCCTAGTGGTACATCTTTTTATGGATCATTTGAACCCAACAGAAGCGTTTAGACAGATTATATCATCCATGCTACTCTGTTATTTGAAAACAAGTGTTTGGTCTGCTCCAGACACCACTGGAAACTAGGTATAAACAAGTCCATTTATTTATGTAGGTCATTACGTTGGCTAATCTTACTCCTCATGTGACAGAGGAGAAAACAGGTCCAGAGCATTTCAAAGTGACTTTGCAAAGGTCACATGGACAGTTAGTGGAAACCCCGTGCGTGCCAGTCTCCTGATCCAGCGCCCAGCCTTGCTACAGCCTTGTTTGGTCACTAAGTATTTTAGGATTGAAAACGGACCAGCACCTTATGATTAGGCTCCTCTCTTCTTAATAGTGCTCTGTAGCCTTCTTCTATGCCTTTTCATTGAAATGGAATTATTGTGCTTTGTAGAATGTGATTAGAAGTATCAGCCAAAGATTTTATCTGTTGTTTTGTCATATTTTTACCATTGATTCTAATTTACTTTTTAACTATTAATTTATTGAAAATAAATTAAGAAAAGAAAGTGTTCTCTTTTTTTTCCTTTTTAAAAAGAATTTTATAATTAACTAAGCTCATCCGCCCATTCACTCCATCCTCACAGCCAATCTTCGGGCTTTGAACCACCCTCCCCCCACTCCCATTGTCTTTAGTCAAGAAAAAAATGCTGTTCCCCAGCAAACCAGGACCTCGGCAGCCTGACCCCATTGTACCCTTCCCTTTACCTTCTACAGTCCCCGAAATGCATTGTACATGCTAATGAAACCATTTCACTTGATGGTCCCCAAACATGCCCCCCCCAATACCTCTGACTTTCCCCTTGTGATCCATCTGCCTGCATGAACGTCCCATTCTCACTTGTTTTACTCACCCCTCCATCTGCACCAAATTCCACTTGCTAAAATCTTTCATGGCTGATCTGAAAAACCACTCCTTCAGGAAGCTTGACTCATCTTAAACATCATCTCTTACACAAAGATTTCCTCCTAGATTTCCACCACTCCGGCTCTCTCTCCTTTCTTAGAATCCCCTTATGCACTTCACGGCCCTTATATCCTCTACCCTGTGTTTCAGATACCTGTGCATATTCTGTCCCCCTGCTCCCAGCTAAGGTCTCCTCGACACTGTGACAGTTTCTATCTAACATCTAATCCGTAAGACAGCCCTGTAAGTGACCTCGCTTTCAAAATGTGGAAGCTATATCAGGACTGGCTCTGTTAAGTATCTTCCACTAGCTTCCCCTAAAAGATGACATTGATATGAAACTTGAACAGGCCGACTTTTACTGAGGAACCCAAAGTTTAAAGCTCTTCTTTAAGGTTTGTTTGCCATATACCCATTCAGCATGGCCCTTGCAGCACCTGCCTCATGAGGTTTCGTCACCCAAGCATGGCTTGAGATGACCAAACTATGTACAAGTTATGCACAACAGGCTTTGTCCTTAAAAAGACCAAAGATCTTTCATCTTTTCAGGGGTCTGGGAGAATGGACAGCTTAACTGCTGACCCACAGGCCAAAGGTTAGTTAAAAGCCACATCCTTAAATTAAAAGGTCAAAGATAAGGAGGAAATCTAAACTCTCAATGGCAGTGCGAAGTGAGGGATTTAAAGTGGCAGGTGCTACAAAATGCCAAGAAATGAATGCCGTTGAAGGATTACAGGAAGCCAGGCCAAGGTCTCCTAAACTGAACATGCACTTCTGCGACTCTTGGAGTTTGCTATAAACGGGGACACTTTCCATTTTATTTTCTCTTTATTGCTAACGATTTATCACAAAGAGATTTTAATGAACACTAGATTTTTACATACACCTTGGTTAGGTTTGTAATCTGCCAAATAACATGTACTCTAGGAATTTAATTTCCAGAGCTCAAGAATTCCCTGGTAGTCGAATGAAGCAAGCCATTGAATTGCCTTTTCTGGAAAACTTTAAGCATAGGATTATTCAATATGATCAGACTAGAGGCCTGTTGCACGAAAAGATTCGTGCAATAGGCCTGGGTCCTGGGTGCCGGAGGAAAACCGGTGCCGCTCCGGCTGGAGCCGCCTTCACAGCCCTCGATGCTCCGGCCGAGGCCGCTTCACAGCCCTCGCTGCTCCAGCCGGAGCTGCCTTCAGTCTTCGCTCTGCTGCTTCGCGCTTACGTATGCAAATTAACCGCCATCTTTGTTGGCAGTTAATTTGCATATTGCGCTGATTAGCCAATGGGAGGCGTAGCGAAGGTACGGTCAATTTCAATCTTTGTCTATTATTAGATTAGATAGGATACTTGTACCCAAGTAATTATCCTTCTAGGAACCTACCATAAAGCAATAATCACAATTATGGTCAAAGAATTATGCACATGCATATCTAATTCAGAATTATTTACATTGTAAATACAAGTAAAATATAATAAGGGAGCCAAGATTCGCTGAGTACTTACTGTATGCCAGGCTGTGCCAATAGCTTCCTGTGTATCAGCTCGCATGTAACAGTGTTCCATTGTTAAGATTATGTTGATTAGATGTATTGTTCTCATTTCACGAACGAGGAAACTGAAGTGTAGGAGATTATTTAACTTGCCCAAGTTTCCACTGCAGAGCCAGAATTTGACCCATCATTTTTACTCAAAATCACTGCTTTTCACAGACAGATTAAAAAAAAAAAATCTAAATTCTTAATGCCTTTTGACC